GGATCTCCGATTCAAGTGCCCCAGGCCCCTGCACCGGAGCTCGCTACAGCCTCACTTGGTGAAATGCTCAGCGCCACAAAGACAAGGGAAATCCCTGCGCCATTGTTAAGTCCCGGTCTCCCTGCAAGCCCTCGGCCTTCAAACTTCAGCTCGCCGCCTTTGTCCCCAAGGTCGATGAATTTTCAGGCTGCGCCATTGTCCCCACGACCACCTCGTCAACCAATTCCATTACCACCCAACACCCCTTTAGCAACTCCGGCCCCAACACCAGCTCGAGCAGCTGGCAAAAGCATCGTCTCTGAAGATACTTCGGTATCGCAGAAAAGTCGCACCGGACAGCAAGAACCCATCAGCCACCCTGATCAACCATCCATCAGAATGTCTAGCCCTAGCGAGCGTACAGAAGTCTTCAAAGGCCTGGTCACAGAGGAGTATCCAGATCTTCTGCTCCCGCCGAATGCTCTGCCATCTATTAAAATTGCAGTTGCATCATCACGCATGAAACCATCTCGAGCAAGTATGATGTCTCTCACACAACTCGAAGAAGACCCAGTGTTTACTCTCGCTATCATCTCGCGATCGGACAATGGCGAGCTTTGGAGAGTGGAGAAAGACTTGGCCTCGTTAACAAAACTTGATCAAAGGCTCAAGCAATGTACATCCTACACAGTCAGAGCTCCAGAACGTTCGCTGTTCAGCGGTCATGCGCCGGCCAAACTCGATGCCCGTAGGACGGTCCTGGAGCAGTTCATGGATGACATTTTAGATATTCCTTTTGACACGAAAACAGCTGTCGAACTTTGCAAATATTTGTCAACTCATGTTCTCCCACCAAATCTAGACGACTCGGTATCAATTGGTGATTCGAGCTCTGAGATGAATGGCAACAAGATCGGGCCCGACGGGCGACCTTGTCGCAGTGGATATCTAACAAAGAAAGGTAAGAATTTCGGTGGTTGGAAAGCAAGGTATTTCGTTCTCAACGGGCCTCTACTCAAGTACTTTGAAGTGCCTGGAGGTGCGCACTTGGGCACAATTAAGCTACAGGGGGCGCAGATTGGCAAGCAGAATCAGAATAACGACAACCAGTCACCAGTGCATGTAGCAAACGGTGATGACTTGGACAACCAATTTCGTCATGCTTTCCTTATCCTGGAACCGAAGAAGAAGGACACGAGCAGCCACTTCAGACATGTTCTTTGTGCCGAAAGTGATAAGGAACGGGATCTCTGGGTGGATGCTCTCCTCCAATGGGTTGATTATCGTGATCCTGAAGATTCTGAACCTCCACCATCCCGGGGTGGGCCTGTCCAGGATCGCCAAACACAAGGTACAGCCACAGGCACAGAGCGTCCTTTGGCAGGCAAGGTTCGAAAACCCCCTGGGAAGCCATACCACCATCCCTCGGATTCGGATACACTGGTTGGCGTCCGATACGATTCCACTCAAGCAGGAGATGCCCCTCAAGTTTCAGGGCCTGCTCGACCCAAGACTTCAGGTGGCATGCCTGACCAACATCACAGCCATGGATTTGAGACCTTTTCCTCATCTCAGAGTAAGATCATTTCTGGACCCAAGGGTCCACAGCCTATATCCGACTTGGGTGCTTGGGGAAACAAACCGAACTATGGCCCGACGCCTGATGAAAAGAAACAGAGGAAGCGAAGTTTCTTTGGGTTTGGACCCAAGACTAGGTCTTCATCAGAGGGTCAAGATTCCTTGTTTGGTGGTAGTGAGGTTGGTGTGAATGCAACCCCACCACAGAACTCTTATCAAGGTCCTGTGAGACAAGCCTTTGGGGCATCGCTGGCAGAAGCTGTTCGATTTTGTTCTCCTACAGATGTCAATGTACCGCTCCCTGCCGTCGTTTACAGATGCATCCAGTATTTGGATTCCAAGAATGCTGTGCTTGAGGAAGGAATCTTTCGGCTCAGTGGATCCAACGTGGTTATTAAGCAACTTCGAGAACGGTTCAATGTCGAAGGGGACATCAATTTGTTGACTGACCGTCAATATTATGACATTCATGCTGTGGCCTCGCTACTGAAACTGTATTTGCGAGAACTACCGACAACAATACTGACAAGAGATCTGCACATGGAGTTCTTAACAACGATGGAGATCGTGGACCATGCCGAAAAGATGACTGCTTTGGGTGAGCTGGTTCACCGTCTCCCTCAAGCTAATGCCACCCTCCTCAAGTATCTGATTGGCTTCCTGATCAAGATTATCAACAATGCGGACATGAATAAGATGACTGTTCGCAACGTTGGCATTGTCTTTTCGCCAACCTTAAACATACCTGCACCAGTCTTCGCAATGTTCCTCCAAAATTACGAGGGAATCTTCGGCGTCGATCCTGAGGTTTATGAGCTTCCTTCACCTGTTTCTGAACCCGAGTTGCAGCGCTTTGAAGCACCGCCGCGATTCGATCTACCTGCTCGCCCATCAACGTCTGGTAGCTCATCTCCTCACGGGCAGATGCGGAAGGATAATGTTCGAGAACTACAGCGATCTACTCCGACTCCTCCGCTTCTCGTCAACAATGCTCCAGTGCGAGCCTCGCCTCCTTCAAGTGCTACTAGGCCTGGTTACGAATCTCCAGCTGGTGCTTACGATATTGGGTACCGTCCACCTTCAGCCAACGAAGGACGTGGTGCCTACGACCGACGTTTCTTGCAAGCGTCACACGAGGATCTCGCCAGCGCCTCCGCAGCATACGATCAAAGCTTTGTACCCAGCAACAGACGCCGTGAGAGTGCCATCTTCATGGGTGGCATGATGGGTCCCCACCATCAGGGATCCAAGAGTCGCTTGCGAGAAGAAACGCGATTCTAAACTGTACACGTGCTTGGTTTTTCATGTGTTTTGCTATTGCTACATACCCACTCGTTTCAACATGCGATGATACCATACATACCATACCATATTATTTCATAACGACCTACACTATTAATACCTTGCATCTCGGAGTTTGATCAATGGCCATTTGAGGAGGAATACTGTTGTTTTGGATTGACTGAAACTATGAGGAGATTGAGCGCTGTCACAAATTGCTCAAGAGAAGACCAGGGTTAGGGACATATGCTGATATAGCCCATGGAAACGTCAGTGAAGAACTTCAATGACTGTAATTGGAGTGAATGTCATTGATCTGATCTTGATGATGGGCGAGGCTGCTTTCTACTTAGCATGGCGTTGTGGATAGTTTTTTAGTCAAGACGATCCCGACATAGTCCAGACCTGAAAGAATTGGCTTGTCGTAGTTCTTCTTGTCTTGTGAGAAATACTCGAATTCATTCTGTGATTTTGTTGCCCAGCTGTCTATTCGAATGCGTTTTCGGCTTTTGCAACACACCCATTGCTGGTGCACTGCTGATTCCAAGTCGAGGCCCAAGCGTGATCTTGGTCTCATCGCCCGAGAGCTATTATGCAGACGATGCTATGTTCTGGTAGATGTGCTACCCACCTGGATTGAGGGAGATTTTTCTAATATTGTGACAACTAAGGATTGATGGTCCTGAGACACTTTTGATATTATGTCATGCCTCAGTATTCTTTTGGGCCCTTTCCCTGCGAGTTCAATGGTTACCTAGTCAGCCCTCAGGGAGCAAGAAAATATCAGACCTTGATACAAGGTGTTGAAATAAGCTTAGCAGAAGGTATAATAAACTTATCCTAAACGTATACTGAATTTGTACTAAGCTAAGGTAGCTAAGCCTTTTTGCCATTCAGGATCGACTTCCTGGGTTTTCTTTCCTTCTCTATCCAGCCAGGCTTTTCAATCGCAGACCTTCTTCATAAATATAAGTCATGGGGTGCAAGGCCAAACAGCGACATGTGTGTGGTCAAGGCTATCCCGCCTCTATTGCATCTTGACAATATACTCGCCTACAAAAGGCATGATGAAGTCCTTCTTTCCCAAAGGCACACCCTCCTTCCTCAGAATAGCATAAGCCATTGACAGGTGGAAGTTGATATTAGGGACAGCAGCTCCCATAGCAAATGCTTTCCCGGGCAGATCCATTGTCCCCGCCGATGGCAATGCTGTCGGGGCAATCTCCTCTCCCTGCTGATTCACAATGTCTTTATCAGCCTTCCCAAGTAACTCTTCGGCCTTTTGAATACGCGAGTGCATATCCTGAAATGTGACGAGCTTGTCTTCAAACTCGACAGACTCCCTTCCAGAGAGCCGGGCGACTAATTTCTCAGCGAATCGAGTAGCTGCATGGACCTGGAAGCTCAACGGGTTCATGTCTTCGTGGAGCCGCGCATCTGGGAAGCTGGCTGCATTGCTATGCTTCTCCGCTTCGGTGAGAATATGATCTAGTGATGCTAGAGCTAGTTTGGCCTCGACAATAGTCGCATCGTAAAGCGTGAAAGTCATGGTTAAAGCCGTGGAAGAAGAGGATTGATATTTGAGAGATATGAGTCAAGGACAAGCAAACTGCGAAAGGGGAAGTGGAAACGAATGAGGGTCTACAAAAGCTAAAGCAGGTATAAATGCCTCGCTCTTCCTTTCTAGGATTTACGGTGAATTGTTGATCCAATAGACAGCCTAATGGGCCGGCAGGCAAGTGGATTGCCTACCTGCCTACCTACCTTATATAGAGCACTAGGGGTCATCCAATTCATGGTCCTATGCTGGTAGGACCTTGGATAAGGTATTTCTTTTCTTGCGACTCCTTTGTGAGTATTTTAGGATATACCGAAAAGTCTAGTTCGAGTCATGCAATATATACGCAACCGTTGCGATAGAGGAGTGAGCCCAATTGAGGCCAGATCGTTGTAACCTTTATATAAAATTTGATGTATCCGTACCTAGTTGAAGGCAATATGATGAAAGCAATCACACCAATGGCCCGGAGATATGGACAAAATGCTCCGACTTTTGCTGACTCATTCACAAACACTTCTCGGAAGCGTCGGAGTCGGCGATAACCTTCGCCGTCCTCATCCATCGCATCATCAAGACCGGCCTACAAAAGTAAGAAGCTCCGATGGAGCTCGATCCTCGTCTTGGCGCAACTGGCGATAGAGCCTCAGCATTAGCAAATTTCGGTGTGGAGGCAACGTCAAGACCATCGCCGGTCCATCATGTCCCTCATAGCAATAGTGCTCTGATACCAGTCCACGGCGTACAGGATGATCACAACAGTGCCGAGAACACCCCCAGCGCATCGACCGAAAATCGAGATACGCCACAACATCAAAGCCAACAGCTTCACGATGCCGAACACGACGGAGATGGAACCGATCCGAAGCGACCGAGGGCCTGTGAGGCATGTCGTGGGCTGAAGGTTCGCTGCGAACCGGATCCCAATGACGAGGGACCTTGTAAGAGGTGCCGGAAAGCTGGAAGGAATTGCGTCGTGACAATGCCAACACGAAAGCGCCAGAAGAAGACCGACAGCAGAGTGGCTGAGCTGGAAAAGAAAATCGATGCCTTGACAGCGAGCTTGCAAGCAAGAGCGGCACCTGGAGGAGGCCAGGCGCATACGCAAAACCAAGGTCACGGCTGGGGAGAGTCTCCTGGAAATGTTGCGCCTAAACCACCCAATGAATCAAACACAGCCACTTCTTCTCACAATAACATGAAATGGCGAACCCCCGGGCAAACCCCTGCATGGGGATCGTTTTCATCGGCACAATCTCCCATGCCGTTGATGCCGACCGTGGAACAAACAACAGATCGCGCATCCCCAGCCCAGTCCACGGCAGCACTAGCTACAGCAGCCACTGGGCAAAAGAGGAAGTTTACAGATGGCCGTGAAGGCTCATCTGAACAGCTTGCTACTGAGGAAACACCAGCCGAAGCTCTGGCGGCTTATCTCACAAGGGCAAAGGGTGGTGATATCGTAGACCGTGGTGTTATCACGATGGAGAAAGCTGTTGAGCTATTTGCTCGTTATAATGACCATATGATTTCACACCTGCCAGCTATTATCTTCCAACCTGGTTTCACGGCATCCGAGCTCAGAAAAACAAAACCTATACTGTTTCTGGCCATCATGGCAGTGGCCTCTGCTGAGTCCCCCACTCTCCAGAAGGTGCTTCAAAAAGAGATGAAGCTCACATTCGCCGAAAAGGTGATGCTTTCGGGCGAGAAAGGCTTAGAGCTAGTGCAAGCACTCAATGTAGCCGTGATCTGGTATTGGCCACCAGAACATTTTGAGGAGCTGAAGTTTTATCAGTTAGTCCACACGGCGGCTGTTATGGCCATCGATATTGGACTCGGCCAGAAATTGAAGCAGCGCCGTGGAATAGTCGTGCCTGATACCTGGCGTCCTAACCCAAGTACCGGACCAGGTGGCCAGAGCCGTCGATGGGCACCCCCTGATCCAACAAGCATAGAGAGTCGTCGTACATGGCTGACATGCTATTTCCTGGCAACCAATACTTCTATGGCCCTCCATCGACCGAATCTCATCCGATGGACCCCCTTCATGGAAGAGAGCCTTCATCTTTTGCAGTCGTCGCCAAACGCTGCGCCAACGGATGCTTACTTCTGCCACCTGGTCTGGACACATCACCTTTCCGAGCAAGTTAATGTGCAGTTCTCTCTCGATGACCCGACATTTGACGTCCATATCTCAGAAACGAGAACACAGCATATCCTCAAAGGCCTCGAAAAGGACCTGAAACGGTACAGAGAGAAGGTCCCCCCTGAGTTGCTACAACGTATGTACTTAGTAAACCAACAGCTGAAATCGTTCACTGACCAAATTAGCGACGCTTCTGATAAGTTTCGGCGTCCTCAATTTGTACATGCACGAGGTGGCCTTACAGGCTCGTACAAGCGAACCTCTGCGGCCTCCATTCTCAACAAGCTCTCTCCAGGAAGGGCTTGTAGGGGGGGATAGACTATCCCCAGCACATATCAGTGCTATATCCGTATGCCTCGGTTCTATCAAAGAAATGCTTGGCACATTTCTAGCCATGGACGTTTTCAGCATACGCTGCTTACCTGTGTTCAACTTTGTCCGGGTCGCATATGCCGTCGTTATGCTCATCAAGCTCTACTTCTCGGCCTCAGCCGCAGGCTCAGAGCTAGGCCGCGTTATTGATAAGGAAGATATGCAAGTCGGAAAGTATCTTGATAACCTGCTTGACAAATTCCGCGCAACTGCAGCGGAGGATAGTTGTCGCCCAGCAGCCAAGTTCCTTGTGGTACTTGTTATGCTTCGTAGCTGGTTTTATAGACAAGCTGAGTCGGAAGCCAAAGAATCGAAGCCACTTCCAACAGCTTCCGCGATAACACCATCTCCTTCGCAGGCACAACAGCAGCCTCCCCTACCTGCCAACGTTTCGGCACCACAACCTTCTGACCACGCATCTACGGCCAACACTCCACTCCAACTCCTTTCAGAAGTTGCTACCGGAGCAGGCTCCCGAAACCGTGACTCTTCAGCTAGCAGGCCTTCGATGGTTGGATGGGGCTCAAACATGCCGCAGCCTCCGCAGCCCTTCTTCCATGACACCCCCGATAACAATTCAAGCTCTACCGCCTCCATGCCCTACCACAACGAGCCATTCCCCGCAGATTTGGCTGCCGCAATGGCGCCCGCAATGCCATCACTACCCCCCACAGCGGATGGGATGGGCGGCTATAACTCTGGAGATCTTCTTGACTTTGCAGGCTGGGATCTGGAGGGCATGGGCATGGGCATGGGCTCGCAGGGGATGTGGGAAGATGGGATGCGTATTTTCCTCGAGGAGCCCTGGTTTAACACCATGTTCCAAGGCAACCCACCAGTTGGCAACAACGCCATGAACTTCTGATACCCTCCCATAAGCCACCCCCGCTGACAAAAATGGATATTGGTGGCTTATCTTTCACGTTGTCAGTTTAGATTTTGACTATATCTAAGCAGCCACGTCAGACCTGGTTTTCTGCACGAGTACTCCTCATGGAGCAAAAAGAAAACGCCTGAGCTGAAGGCTAGGCATCAAAATCAACCAGCCTAAGATCAGCTGAACCTACACTAAACTTGCCTTAATCTTTTCGTCACCCATGATAGACGTCTGGAGTTTTCTTGCCCCACTCAAGTACTCAATCGAAATGCCCGGATGTTTGTGTCTCGAACAGTCGGCTCACGGAACGCACCCCCCGGTATGCATGTGGGCTGCAGCTTCAAATGTATGTTTTTTAGGTGCATTGGCGCCAGTATAGATTTGCATGTACTCGAAGCGGTGTGAGCGTTACTTGTCGGTTGTCTGTGAGAAGAGAGAATTTACTGAAACATTATTCACATGCTTTTTAGCTGGGAGTCTGGACTATGTATTAATGAGATTATGGATCGTCAATCGCAGACTTCTAATAAAGCTGGAGACATAAGTTCTACTAAATGGAGGATTTCGATGCATGTATTTGACCGTATTGGCCTTCTACGAAATCTTGTACCTAAATGATCTTGCGGTTTAACAAGCTTGCTCAAGTCACGAATCCTTCGGAAGGACGGTCTGATGATAAGACCAGTTCCATTCATTCTAGCTGTGGTCTATCACACCATTGGCACTGAACGCCCCGGCTATCATTTGCTTCCAGTTCCATGATCCCATTCTCTTGGGTCCCGGCACATGGCGGTAAAGCATCACCGTGTCCCTCGATGTTCCTATGCTCCGAAGCGTCGATAGTCCCTATCCTCTTCGCGCACCATTTCCACCAGGTTCCTAGTTACAAATATTGGCATTCCTGTACTCATAAAACGAAGCCATAACGCCAACAACTGATCAAGTTCAAATATTCCCTATGCTCGCTCTTGTCGTGATTTTATAATTCGAAGTCTCCCCTCCCACCGTCCTTCAATGTCTTGTTTCAAGGTAACCTGTTACCGCTCCTTTGTACGCCTTTGAGTGTTTGATACAGCTCTGCATGTTTTGTGACCAGTTTCGCATTTTCCATAGATCCCGCTAGAAAAGTTCATTGCAAAACACCAAAAGTATAAAACAAATTAAAAGCCATGTTTTCAGCAACAGATCTCCTTCAAGGGATAATTGCTGAAAACGGCAAATCATGTCAGGAACAAAATTGCGCAATGCAGCTGGAACTTAGAAGAAAGCATAGGCTATTAGGAGCGCCGGACAACTGTGGCAAGGTGGGCGAATCATCATTGTTGGTGTCATCATCGTCGTCGTTATCATCTTTTGAGTGAACATGTATCTGAGGCGTGGATGCTTTCAGTCCATGTAGAAATCACCCTTCAAAATTCTCTCCTGAAAGGCATCAGGCTTTGGTCTTTCAGGCTGTCTCGGCGGCTGCTTGACAGAAGAAGCCTGGACAGGAGGCTGCGGCATCTCAGAAACAGATTTCGCGCGGTCGTGAATGGAGCCCCGGGGTGGGGAGGAGGAGGCGAGCGAGAAGGAAGCCCGAGGAGCACCGATGACGGAACTCTCGGCACGAGATCTAAGCTGCTCGGACCAGTTGAAACCCTGCTGGTCTGGGCGCGAAATATAATTGTCAGATGTGGCTCTTGGATTTTTGGTGTTGCTTGCCTGTGTGACAGAAGAAGCGAGGCTGGGGCGACGTCCAGCAGACAAAGCTGCCGCAAGGCTGGACCCTTGACTGGGGGAGCCAACAAGCGACGCCTTCCGACCACTTGGGACGGGGCGCCCGTTTTGAGAAGTAGGAGGAGAGGATGGGCTATTACCATTTCCAGGGCTTCCATTTGGGCGAATGTTGCGCATGTTGGAAGTGCCAAAGCTCATTCGTCGAACGAATGGTGTTGTGGGTGCAGTCTTGGAGTACATGTCGTCATCTTCAATGGCACTCTCATCAATAGAATCCGAGTTGTTGGAGTTTGTCGACATGCTGCCTCGACGAATGAAAGAGGTGTTTGTGGGCGAAGTGCCCGATAGACCAAGTGTGGTCACGGAGAGACGTCGACGACTAGTGTCGACTGGACCCGAGGACTGATTTGGCAAGCCGTTGCTGTTGGGAACCGAGTTGCCTCTTTGAAAGAGATTGGTCAATGCAGCCTGGGTGATTGATCCTCGTCTGTTGCGTGTGTACATTTCGGCGTTGGTATTATTGTTGGGGGGTACTGTGTCTGTGGACATGATGGGCGACTAAAAACGACAGCAGTCGCCGATAGTTATAGTTTTGAAGATGTTGTGATATGGGGAGATATGCGAGGTAATGGCGCCAGAGTGGTTCGAGAATGGCAGCAACAGCGTTTCACGTGAATTTGATGGTGGGGTGGTGTTTAGAGAATTGTGGGCTGCCGAGAGCGTTTTCTAAGAGGCGAACAATCCTAAAAATGAGAACAAAGAAGTCGCGATAGATCGAGTAAAGGGGGGAAGAAAGAGAAGAACAAAGAGTTTAGAAAACCGAGATGGGAAACGGGGGAACCGAGGGTTGATAAGGCCGGACAGTGATGGGTTGGTGAAGAGGACGAAATGGGGTCAAATCAACTCTAAAACAGGGGAGAAGAGACAGCTGGTTAGCGATGAGAGATCGCCGTTGCCGGTTTGGGTAAAAGGCAACCTTTAGGTCAACGTTGGAGGGGAAATCGGCAGTCAGCGGCAACTTGAGAATCGAGCGAGACCGGCGCAACATCCATGCCCAAGGTCTCAGCATCAATCAGTGTTAGTCTAGCTACTAACTCAGGCCAGAATGAAATCGAGAGCCGTCCGTCAGTGAAGAGTCAAGACCAGGATCTGAGGCGGACGGTAGCATTCAAGAATCGACCAGGGGCCTTTGGTTCGTGGAACACTTTGGTAGGCAGGCTAGTAGGTAGGTAGGTATGTATGTATGTATGCTCGTTTGTCGAGCTGACGCCGGTACATGCAGTCGCGGCTAGCTTCAAGGTTGTTCTGTAATGGGGGGGGTTTCAGTGACGGATGAGACCTCTACTAGAAAAGATGGGGCAAAATGAAGGGAAATGGCTGCAGCGCGTAGATTGAGCCCGGGGGCCGAGTGACGTAGTCGCTGCAGAGTGGAGTTTCCCGCCGGAATCGGGATCAGGGTTGGTCAAGCTGTTCAAGGATGCCTGGGGCAAATCTGCGTCGTGGGGCACTAGGTACCTAACCAGCACTGTACAAATGCTCAAGGGTTCATTATGGAGGGTGTCCTCTCTCGAAAGAAATGGAGAATGCCCTGGGGTTGAACCCTTGTCTCTTGTCGCTTACCCAGTTCTGGATCTGAACTTCTGAACATGAGGCTAATGGGCTTATTTCGGTCTGGGGTATCTGCCCGGTCACTAATCCTGCTACCTATGATCTCTTGGGCTCCCACGTAGCTGTCAGTTGGACTCGAACTTCGTAACTCGGAGATCTCGTTTGTGTAACAGTCGGTTGCATGGGCGGTGCTCTTTTCATCTATCACTGCTGATAGACTGCCGAAGCCCATATCGGCAAGATCTGATTGCATCAGAAGTAGAACATAGCGTACCCAAGCGGACTGGTGTTGAGAAGCTGTTGGTGAATTTTCTTGGCTATAGAACCGAGGAATGATGATCTGTCCTTGTGCAATATTTCGTTGAGGGCGGATGCGTTGAGGTACATCGTAGTTTTTCAGTCAGCAATCTAAGGGACCTGTGAGACAGAGTACCTCCTCGATCACCCATCCCGGTTCAACATTCTCGTCTACTGATGATCCATGCCAGACATTTCATTTCCAAGAAGTAGGCTGCGATGTCAGAGGCTCTCTCGGGGTTGGATCAAGCGTTTAGAGCTGTCAGGGCACGTCCTAAAAGGGCAATGAAGCAGAAATGGAAGGGGAGACACCACTGGTAGGTTTAACCGCTCTTCTTGATATAGCCGACGAACTTCGTAGCTTGAGCCGTAGTAGCGTAGGTATTAGCAGTTTCACAGTTGCGTGTTTGCCTATTTTCAGGTTGAGGGCAAGTGAAAGGTGCATGGCATTCACGAACGTTTCATATTGTCCAGTCAAGATGACTCACAAAGAGGAACCAATACCTTATCTCCCCTTTTTATCATCATGCTTTGATAGGTAGTTAACTATAGGTACGATTATCGCAGGTACTGTCTCTCTGGGTTTGATACTTTCTCCTCGGTTGACGAACGGAAACAAGACCTTTCCATGCTCTCCTCTACTTACCTCGCGTAGAACACACATGACACATGGTCCTGTTCTCCTTTTCCCATCAACATCTATCTATGAACACGCCAACTCTTATACATGCCCATTTTCTTCTGGTGGCCGGACAGCATGGCCAAATTCCACATTGGGCTTCGACCTCTCGCATGTAGTTTTCACCTCTTATAGCAGGCCCTGGCAATGCGCCCCACTGGTCCCTGTTCCCCACGGTATCTGCGGCTTCACACAGCCCATTGTTAGCGCCGTTTGGTTGACTGCGGAGAAAACGGGTGCAAAGGGACCTCCCCAGTAAGCCAATCTTATCTCGAAAGGGCGCCTCGTAAGGCACCTTAGAACATCCGCAACGGAAAGCGATCCCAGCGCATCCCGTCTACGTCACAAATGGATACGTACTGTGGAATGCTTGCCATTTTGCGGGGTAGGTACTAAGTTCTCTGTAACGAAAAGGCAACAACCAACTGAGACAAACTTTCAAGCATTTTATCGCAGGGATTGCGACTCTGCCTCACAGGCACAGTTCAACAGCGGCAACAGAGATGGAGGAGATGTGACGATTCTGTAGGAGGATCAGAGGTTTCTCTCGGTCTCACACTTTCGCGCCAGCTTATCTCGACTTTCTGCTACAGCACGAAGCACCGACAGACGACCGAGCCAACGAGAACTTGTCATAGGTCGCCCACCAACTACCAACTGTATGCCTTATTTTGTGCCAAACTGAGCA